AGAATGTCGTAAAGCTATAGATAATAGATACTAAATGATGTAACAGTGGAGGTATGTCGAACAAGAGATCTGATTCTTGGACAAGACACATGAGTACGGTTATGCCAGGTACCAAGTTTCATTGAAACTTAAAAATCATATCTGTCTCTCTATTTCTTTTGTTTTCCAATCTCCTATCGTCCAATCTTATTCTTTGTTTGTTTTATTTTCCCCTGTTAGTTTGAGGAGTCTCATAGTGATGAAGTTCTGGTCTTTTTTATAGTAAAAACCCTGACCTCTATCTTTTTCCCTTGAAAGTATCTATGTCCTCTTCTTATGGTAGTAACGATTACATATTCACCTTAAGAATAAATATAAGAGAACGGGTGCAATCTCTATATAGTTATTGGATGATTGTCCTCTAAGTTACTCGTGGTGAGAAGGGACACTTTTGGACTCAGAAGATGGGGAAAAAGACAATATTAATTGTACTTTCATGCATGCAAAGTCTTAAATAATATAGTGAGTTTGATTATTCCAAATACTTAAGCTTATAGGAAAAACACAAACTATTATTTGTATATTAATACTCCCTTCAATGAGGACTAGAACCAAGGGGCAAGTAACTAATGGTAGATTGGTGGGTTTTGCATGACTTGAAGTTCAATAGTGGGCTAAAGAATGGTTGAACAAATAATACGAGTGGGAGCATCATATGTCCACTTCAACATAGCATTCATGAGGCCAAGTTCATGGGACACATTTCTTTTCTGGAACTTTAGTTGTGCTATGTTTGTGCTTCTCGATTTTAGGTAATAGTTAAGAAAAATGCATTGATGGGCATCTTGACAATATGCGAGTGATTGTTAGATTTTGAATTGTTGGTAATGTTTATGCTGCCAGAAGCTTTTAGATTTTTCTGTTTAATGTCAATTAGCATTCAATGGTTTCATTGGTTATGAAAACTGTGGAGGCTCAAATCATTGTTAAAGATGTAATGTTTGCTTGCATTTACTTACCTTCATATCTAAGGTAGAATTACAATTTTTTATCACATTCTTATTCAGGAAGAAGTTAGCCCCTGTGCATCTTCAACTGTCTATTGTTATTAACTTATGATATCTGTGCAGACTTGGAATGGAAACTCATCTATGTAGGATCTGCTGAGGACGAGACTTCTGATCAATTGTTGGAGAGTGTACTTGTTGGACCTGTTAATGTTGGAAATTATCGTTTTGTATTACAGGTAATTAACTTTTTCTTTTGGTTCTTTATTTTGACACTACATATGATTTGCATAATTTGGAGATGGCATTGGTTTTACAGTGTTTTTCTTGTTGGAAATTTGCAGGCAGATCCACCAGATCCATCAAAGATCTGTGAAGAAGATATTATTGGTGTTACAGTGCTTCTTTTGACATGCTCATACCTTGGTCAGGAATTTGTTCGAGTTGGCTATTATCTAAACAATGATTATGAGGATGAGCAGCTTCGAGAGGAACCTCCTCCCAAGGTCTTGATTCATAGGATTCAAAGAAATATTTTATCAGACAAACCAAGGGTCACAAAGTTTCCAATTAACTTCCATCCCGAGAATGATGAAAGTGCTGGAGAAACTCACCAAGTCGAGCAGGCTGAGGATATTGATCGGGAGGAAGAACCAGGGGTTTCACCAGAACCAAGTCATCCTCCAAACAGACAGGAGCCTTAGCTTTTGTCACTCTGTAGTGACCAAAATTCCAGTATCTCCATATTGTACTCCATTAGTGACATTTTTGCCTGAAATATCACGGGGACTTCAGACTTGACCATGGTTAATGTTGTGTTTGCAATGATGTAATATAGAAAGTTCGAGGGAGTGTAGGTAGACAGTGACTGAGCGAATGTCTGTAAACCCAGTTCTCCAACAAATACATCATGCATTTCAAATTCGATCTTGAAAGTTTGTAATGGTGCGAAAAGGAAACTCTGTTTTATAATAGCTTTGTCAACTAAGTTGATATGGTTATTCTTTAGGTCCGAGTTGTGTGATACCCAGCTCAGTAAAATAAATAATTAGTATTTCAAAAAGAACTCTTAAGAAGAGAGGAAGAAAGATTAGGTCTGCAGCAACATATGTAAATTTTCAAAACTAATTTATGGTTCAAGTTCATATTATATTCATGCTCATTAGGTATGTATAAAAGGAAAAGATAAAGGTAGAGAGATACACAGTAGGGTTTCCAGTGATTTGTTCCTTTGGGTCAAGTTGTGAGGAACCTTAGCTATTACACTATTTTATCTATAATCTATATTTTACAAGATTTCCATAAAGACTAGAATTACAAATTTAATGTCATTAACACTTTCAGAGACAGAAGTGGTATCAAAAGCTGTCTATGCTAACAAATTGTTCTTCTTAGTGGGAAGGAAAGAATTTTCTCTTTTAGGTAACCTTGTCCTTTAGCTTAATGCAAACTTCTACATAAAAATTTATATGTTTATCGATCATAAATTTATATGTTCACCCATTTAAATTTAAACTCGAACAATAATTACAAAATATAACTCTTGAATTCTATAACTTTGCTTAATGAAATGAGTTATAGTGAATCAACGACCGTTAAAAAATATACTAAGCTCGTTTAATTTAACTAACATTTTTGAATTAAATCGTGTTACTTCAAAATCCGATGACATTTTTCGTAAACAGTTCAAGAAATTAGTTTATTTTTGGACCCGTCTTATTTTCTGCACTCTTCTTCAGACACAATGGCACGATGTTAGAACCCTATTCAGAGATATTTTTACTGGTACTAATCGAGATTTGGATGTTCTGGTAGAATTCGGAGCATTCCAAAAAACTTGGAGATCCAACTACAGCTTACTATGAAGGTGACAAAGGTGTTGGAAGAGAAATTCTTATGCACCATTACAATTTTCAAAACCGAATTCAAAAATGTATGGAGTACTTGTTTTAGAGGTGGCTTTACAGCCAAATTTTCCTCTGGCACTTTCAACCATATCTCCTCAAACGTCTCCATTACATCATTGCAAAAGCAAGAACCATGGTCAAGTTCACAGTTTCCTGCACATCTTAGGCTAATTTTCCTAATGCAATACCAAGTGAAGATCATTGAGTTTGGCCAGTTAAGAATGATAAAACCTAAAGCTCCTGTCCATTTGAAGGATGATCGGGTGAAAGCACCGGTTCTGATTCTAGTCCTTCATTTCTATCAATACCCTCAGGTTGACAGGTTTCTCCAGCAGTTTCACCATTTCGGGA